ATACGAATGGTATCCATTCTAGCAACTGGAGCAAATACCTCAAAATAGTCAATCCCGGGTTTTTGTTTGTAACCCTTGACTACGAGATGAGCCTTCAACCGATCAACATCACCATTAGGCTTGTACTTGGTCTTATAGACCCATTTCACACCGATGGACTTTTTGCCTTCCGGGAGAGATGTGAGCTCCCACGTATCATTTTTCTCAATCGCGTGGATCTCATCATTCATCGCGCGAACCCAACCATTATCTTGGGAAGCCTCCTGAAACTTTGTCGGATCACAATCTGCAAAGAGAGCAAAATTGATAATTTCTTCATCAGAGGGATCATCATCATTGGACAAAACACAATCCTTCAAACGAGCCGGTAAAACTCGTTCTCGCCGTGGACGTGATGAACTTTCAGCAAGATTTTCGATAGGATTTTCAACAGAATTCGATGAAGTAACTGCTGTCGAAGTCTCTACTATCGAATCTGCTATCGAACCTGGTTCCACCGAAGCCGCTATTGGTTCAGATTGACTATATGAATCGGGCTGAACCGTCTCCTCCTCATCTAGGACAAAGCGAAACTGCTTCTTTTCTTCCGTGTTCCAAGTCCACTCACCTTCCTCGTTGAAGGTAACATCTCGACTGATTACCACCTTTTTCGTTACCGGATTATACAACCGATAACCCTTGGTTTCATTGCTGTAACCGAGGAAGATGCACTTCTCGCTCTTCTCATCAAGCTTCTTACGAAGCTCATTTGGCACATGGGCATAAGCAATACACCCAAACACACGAAGATGCTGAACTGAAAGGATTCGACCGCTCCACACCTCCGTCGGTGTCTTGAACTCAAGACCTTTAGTGGGACATCTGTTCAACAAGTAAACAGTACAAGCAACCACCTCCGCCCAAAAATGCTTCGGCAAATGTTTAGAACAAAGCATAGTACGTACCATTTCGACAATAGTGCGGTTTTTTCTCTCCGCTACTCCGTTCTGTTGAGGAGTATATCATGCTGTCAATTGATGCTTGATGCCGCATTGCTTGAAGAAGCCGTCACCAACCAAATATTCTGTGCCACGATTAGTTCGGAGAATCCGAATTTTGTGCCCACTTTGGTTTTCGACATAGGCTTTGAACTCCTTGAAAGTATCGATGGTGTCGGATTTCTACTTCAAGAAATAAACCCATGTTTTTCTGCTAAAGTCGTCGATAAAGGTAACAAAATACCTGTACCCGCGATTCGACGATTCACCAAGCGGTTCGCAGAGATCGGAGTGAACTAACTCCAATGGCTTCGACGCTCTCCATGATTTTCCTGAAAGAAAGCTTTCTCTGGACTTCTTCCCAATGACACATGATTCACATATCTCCTTTGGAGAAGAAATTTCGGGCAGACCTCGCAGCATCTTCTTTCGACACAACAGCTTCAAGCTGTCGAAATTCACATGTCCGAACCGCTTGTGCCAAAGCCATGAAGAATCTTGCATTGAGGCACTAAAACATGACGTAGCATAATTAATACACAAAGGAAAAAGGCGATTTTGGGCCATTTTTACCTTTGCAATCAATCCTCCTTTGCCATCATGAATCGTGCAAACCTCATCCTTGATGATCATGTGATAGCCTAGCTCGGACAACTATCCCATGCTCAAGAGATTCTCTCGAAGACTGGGAACATAATGAACGTCGGAAATGTTTTGAACCGACCCATCTTTTGTTTTGATTTTAATGCTCCCCTTTCCCGTGATAGGAAATTTTGCATTATTCCCGAACCTCACCTCCGAACGAAAGGTGTCATCGAAATTCGAGAATAACTCCTTCTCGCCACACATGTGATTACTGCATCCAGTGTCTAAGTACAAAACATTCTTCTGGTTCTCCACTGAAACATTACACATGAATAAAAGAGCATTACCATGCTCATCATTGCTTTCAACAAATCTATCGATAGAACTTGCTACTTTAGCATGAAACTTTTGACCACCAATCCTTTTACTTCAACACTCAGATTTATAATGCCCATACTTTTTACAATTAAAACATTGAATATGGGACTTATCTGTTTGTTGTCGAGGTTGCTTCTCCTGCCGCCTTTTATCTTTCTTTTGAGTAGAAAGATTTTTTTTTTCATCGGGTAACACCCACTGGCTTTGTAGAGCCTCCTCCACCGTCTTGGACTTCTCCTTGAGTCATTGCTCGTGCATTTGTAGAGAGCCAATCAACTCATCCACGGTCAAAACTGAGAGATCACGGGATTCTTCAATGGAAGTCACAATATATTCGAACTGCAACGTTAGCGTCCGAAGAATCTTCTCGATGATCACCAAAAGTCTCACCATTGGCCTTCATTTGATTGACAAGAGCCAATACGCGTGAGAAATAGTCAGAAATGGACTCCGACTTTTCCATCTGAAGGAGCTCGTATTGTCGACGAAGAGTCTGAAGCCGAACCTTCTGGACCTTCTCAACGCCTTTGTAAATTTTGATGAGAGTATCCCATGCTTCCTTCGCCGTCTTCGAATTCGCCACTTTTTCAAAGATTGATGAATCTATCGCTTGAAAGATGTAAAAGAGAGCCTTGCGATCTTTCTTACGATTTTCTTTTATCGTCCTCTGCTCCTCCGTTGTCGAATCTGCCGCTGCTTCTGGCTCGACGAATCCTTCTTCGATAATCTCGGTCAGCTCCTGGAATCCGAATAGCACCTCCATCTGGATCTTCCAATGCTCAAAATTCTTCCCATCAAACCTTGGGAGTTGAGGTTGGACATTCTTGGCACTACTCACGGAATCCATCTGACTCGAGATCTTTCAAAACTTAGCCAACTGGCTCTGATACCAAATGTTGGAAGAAAATTTGAAATACTGTTGTATTCACTTGTATATAAAAAAGATTACAAGACGCACATATTTATAGGATTAACACACGACTCTACGTTTACTCTAGTCACATGAACAGACATGTCTAGATTCATAACATTAAAGGCTATCTTGAAAGACATAACTTCCTAGGTAACAACTTTCTAGATTCCAAGTATCAAGATGAACTTGGGTTACGAAGAGTCTCCTTGAGATCTGAAAAATCCTTTGCGATTTCCAATAGCCTCCCTTAAGCCGAGTTCATCTTGACCATGCCGATCATTCTTTTAAGTTTAAGGAAGGAATCTATCTTCAACGGCTTAGTAAACATGTCAGCCACTTGGTCTACCGACTTGCAATACTGCAGCACAATCTCCTCGGACTTCAGATGATAATTCGACCCCTCGTATGATGGGATAGGCCGGCCTAATGACCGATGCCTCTTTTCATGAGGAAAATCTGCCGCACATGGATTTGTTTAATTGCATAAGGAACTCTCTTACGTAAGAGTTCCTCCAGTATATTAGGAGCTCTCGGATCGTAGTTGAAGAGTGTCTTGGTGCACTCCGTGAGTTCATTTTGTTGGTTGCAATTAAACCCGAGTGGTTTAGCCAATTTACTCTGTGATAATTCGACCATATAAATTTAATGTCCGATTTATATCCTCGTTTCTTGCATTTTATTCAACGACTTCTTATATATACGATAGAGTGAATCTAGACAATATCATCTGATTTCGACGTCTGATTGATATATCATGTCACTAACGTGTAGTGCACAAAAGAAAAAAAGCTCATGATCGGCTCGCGCTGTGTGTCTTGACTTGGAATAAGACGTAGACGATGATGGTGCGTTTGGAATTAATTCAAAACTTGTACGAGTGATATGTTTTACATTTTTTGAGGGGGAAAACAGAGTTCAGTTCAGAGAGATCTATAGTTTATTCGTATGAACTAATGAATGAGGCCATCGCTGGTTTGGAAAGTAGCCTGAAACAATTTTGAGTGCAGGATCATTTCGCATTAAGAAGGACAGTGGCGCAGCCATATCTGTTTTTTAGAAAAGATAAAACTCAGCAATACTAGAGGCCTCCTAAATTAGCTCAATATTTATAAAACCTTTCCAAAAATTGAATTAGGTAATTGTTGTTTCTTGTTCTTATTGTGATGCACCTTGGGGGACCGGTGGACCCGTTATGCGACTAGACGAACCGACGGGCTCGAAGTCAACGATCTTGGATTGAGCTCAAATTTGGTCAGCTGAAGCGAAACGGCGTGCTGATCAATACTCACTGCTGTTGGCCGTGACTAATGATGGATTTTCGCGATTCGGGGTCGTTTAGATGGGTTTTTCTATTTTTTTAGTATTTTTTATAGGTTAATTTAGTAAATGGCAGTTTTGTAATTTTACGTTTTGATATTTACTAATCCTAGTAGGGTTAGGTTTGGGGATATGTAAACTTGTTTTAGGGTTTCGTTTGATGAGACTTTTGGATATTTTGATTTGATAATCATACTTGGAGGACGAATTGTTCTTCTGTCGAATTTTCTTGTTCAGTCAATCTTTCTATCGCGTTTCGGCATCAATTGGTATCAGAGAACAGGTTGCTTGAATCAATGGCTGAACAGAATCGCGGTCGTGGACGGCGGGCTCGTGGTGGCCGGGGGCGTGGAGGCATTCCTGAAGCAGACGACCAACCGCGTCTAAGAGATCTGCGAGACGTAGAAATTGAAGAACAGAGAAGGCGAATCCAGGATTTGGAGCGACAACTTGCGGAGGCGAGGTTGGGCGTTCAATCCGAAGAAGAAGAAGAATCTGAGGATCCATCCGATGATGAAGAAGAGGACGTAAACCCTTCCGGGGTTCTGAACCAGGGGCGAAATCGAGGATTACGACCTGGAAATCAGCGCTCTTCGCAAATTTTCGGGATGAAGATCGAGATTCCCGAGTTTAATGGTAAGGCTCATCCTGATGAGTTTATTGATTGGTTACATATAGTAGAGAGGATCTTTGATATTAAGGATCTGACTGAAGAGCAGAAAGTTAAATTAGTGGCTATTAGGCTACGAAAACATGCCTCGATATGGTGGGAGCATGTGAAAAGGCAGCGTGCTAGAGAGGGGAAATCAAAAGTAAACCGCTGGGATAAGATGAAGAAATTGTTGCAAAAGAAATTTTTACCTACTCATTATAGGCAGGAGGCATTTATTGAGTATCACAACATTAAGCAGCGAGATTTAACGGTCGAGCAGTATACCGAGGAGTTTGATCATTTGCGGATGCGTTGTGATGTGGCTGAGGAAGACGAGCAAACAATTGCTCGATATTTGGCAGGCTTGCGGTATGAAATTTCTGATGTTGTCCAATTACAGCAATATTGGACCTATGAGGATGTGTGCAGGTTGGCCTTGAAGGTGGAAGGTCAGTGTAAAAGGAAGAACGTGAATTCCAAATTTCAGAATCGTTGGTCAGGCAAAGAATCCCGAGGAAAAGCGGGAACATCTGCAGCAAATTCGACACCAGTCACAGTTAAGGATGTGAGTTCTAAACCTACATCCAAGGAGGGGCAGAGTAGTGCTGGAACTAGCATGGGAGGAACTGCAATCAAGCGGTGTTTCAAGTGTTAGGGATTCGGGCATTTTGCTGCTGATTGTCCGAACCGACAGATTGTAACGCTTGTTGATAATCCAGTCTTTGATGAAGGTCCAGTTTATGATGAATCTGAAGGCGAAGAAGAGGATGCGGATGTAGAACAGGAAGGGATTATCTATGCTGATTCTGGTGAGTCCCTAGTCGTTAGAAGAATATTAAATGTTGTCGTAGCGGACGATGAATCGTGGCTTAGACATAATATTTTTCATACTAAGTGCACTAGTAGAGGAAAAGTATGCAGCATGATAATAGATGGTGGGAGTTGCGAGAATGTGATGTCCACGACTATGGTGGAAAAGTTGGGGTTCAAAACAGAAGATCATCCTCAACCATACAAGCTGTCGTGGCTTAGAAAAGGGAACAAGGTAAAGGTGAGCAAAAGGTGTCTTGTGCAATTTTCGATTGGAAAAAATTACATCGATGAGGTGTGGTGTGATGTAGTCCCAATGGATGCTTGCCATATTTTATTGGGGAGGCCATGGCAGTTTGACAGAAAGACATAGCATGATGGTTTCAGAAATACCTATACCTTCAAGAAGAATAGCCGAACCATTACCCTAGGTCCTTCAGATTTGAGAAAGGAAGTGAAGAATAATCTGCTGTCCAGGTCAGAATTTCAAGAAGAGGCAGTGAACGCGTCTGGGCTTTTTGCCATTGTAGTGATGGAGCGGAATTATGACAGTCCCGAAATTCCTACCCAAATTATGCCCTTGCTTGAGGAGTTTGCTGATGTCGTACCGGAAGAGATGCCACCTGGGTTGCCGCCCATGAGAGACATTCAGTATTGTATTGACTTTATTCCGGGAGCTGTTATTCTTCATAAGGCAGCTTACAGAATGAGTCCTAAGGAACATGAGGAACTGCAGAGACAAGTGCAGGAGCTGTTAGAGAAAGGCGCAATTCGAGAGAGCATGAGTCCCTGTGTAGTGCCGGCCTTACTGGTTCCTAAGAAAGATGGGTCGTGGAGGATGTGCATAGATAGCAGAGCTGTTAACAAAATTACAATCAAGTATCGATTCCCTATTCCACGATTTGATGATTTGATTGATCAGTTACATGGGGCGGTTATCTTTTCGAAGATAGACTTGAGGAGTGGTTATCATCAGATTAGGATGCGACCTGGAGATGAGTGGAAGACGGCGTTTAAGATTAGAGATGGTCTGTATGAGTAGATGGTGATGCCCTTCGGGTTGTCTAACGCGCGCGAGCACTTTTATGAGGCTGATGAATCAGGTTTTTCGTCCTTTTACTGGCCAATTTGTTGTCATTTATTTCGATGATATTTTGGTTTTTAGTACTTCGATTGAGCAACACGTGCAGCACTTGAGAAGAGTATTTGAGACATTGAGGGAGCAGAAATTATATGCTAATACCAAGAAGTGTCACTTTTTAACTGATCATGTAACCTTTTTGGGTTATATTGTGTTGAAGGAAGACATTTAGATGGATCCAGTTAAGGTCGAAGCCATTACGAATTGGGGGGTTCCGAAGAATATTCATGAGGTACGCAGCTTTCATGAGCTAGCGTCCTTTTATAGGAGGTTTATTCGAGATTTTAGCACTATTATTGCGCCTCTTACGGATTGTCTGAAGGGAGACAGATTTGTGTGGACCAAAGAGGCAGACGTTGCGTTTCAGTTGTTGAAGAAAAAAGTGACTGAAGCCCCACTTTTAGTGCTTCCAGATTTTTGTGAGGTTTTTGAGGTGCATTGTGATGCCTCAGGAGTTGGTATTGGGGGCGTCCTGAGCCAGAAAAATAAACCTGTGGCGTTCTACAGTGAGAAGTTGAATTAAGCGAAGAGAAGATATTCGACTTATGACAAGGAGTTTTACGCCATAGTGAGGAGCTTAGAGCATTGGAGGCACTATCTTATCTCGAAAGAATTTATTTTGTATTCTGACCATGAAGCCTTGAAGTACATTAATGGGCAGCATAAGTTGAATGCTAGGCATGCAAAGTGGGTGGAGTTTCTTCAGGTTTTTAGTTTTGCCATTAAACATACGGCAGGAGCGCTGAATAAAGTAGCAGATGCATTGAGCAGAAGACATTCTCTACTGTCTACAATGCGGGTGAGAGTTTTGGGCTTTGATTCTTTTAAGGATTTGTATGTTGATGATCCTTCTTTTGGAGATATTTGGAGGAAGTGCAAAACAGGGCCCTTTCAACAGTTTTTGGTTGTGGAGGGTTTTCTTTTCAAAGGCAACAGGCTGTGTATCCCTCAGTGTTCTTTGAGGGAATCCATTATTACTGAGAGTCATGCAGGGGGTCTAGCTGGGCACTTTGGAGTGGATAAGACGATGGCCTTACTGTGTGAGCACTTTTATTGACCCCGAATGGAGCGTGACGTGACTCAATTTGTAGAGAGGTGTAGAGTATGTCATGTAGCAAAAACCAGAGGTACCAATGCTGGTTTATATATGCCTCTACCTGTTCCCGATGCTCCCTTGGAGGATGTCAGCCTTGATTTCGTCTTGGGATTGCCAAGAACACAGCAGAATAAGGATTCCATAATGGTGGTTGTCGACAGATTTTCGAAGATGGCTCACTTTATTCCCTGTAACAAGACCTTTGATGCTTCACAGGTTGCTCGATTATTTTTGCAGGAGATTGTTAAGTTACATGGAGTTCCCAAGTCCATAACTTCAGATCGTGATGTGAAGTTTGTGAGTCACTTTTGGCGCACTCTTTAGAGGCACATGGGAACCAGATTGCAGTTTAGTTCCTCTTATCATTCTCAGACTGATGGTTAGACAGAAGTTGTCAATCGAAGCTTAGGGAATTTGCTGCGGAGTTTGATTGGAGATAATCCACGACAGTGGGACTGGGCATTGCCTCAGGCAGAATTTGCATATAACAGATCTGAGAACCGAACCACAGGCAAGACTCCTTTTGAGGTGGTTTATGGGCGTAATCTAATTACTCCATTAGATCTCACACCGATACCAATTCTCAAGCAATTTAGTTCGGAAGCTGAAGAACATGCAAAGCATATCAAAGAGCTGCATTCCCAGGTCCATAATCAGATCAACAGGCAGAACATGAAATATAAGCAGCGCGTGGATATACGCAGGAAAAGAGTCATCTTCAAGGAAGGTGATCTAGTTTGGATTCACCTTAGGAAAGAACGATTTCCGGGGGGTAGGCTTGGCAAGCTTCAACCTAGAGCTGATGGACCCTTCAGAGTTTTGGAGCGAATTAGTGACAATGCTTACAAGATCGAATTGCCGGGTAAGTATAATGTATCCGGAACTTTTAATGTAGCAGATTTATCACCTTACTGCGCTGAAGAGGAAGAAGATCCTGAGGAGATTGACGACAATGAAGGCGAAGCATATTCGAGACGAATCTTTCTCTAGCAGGGGAGGATGATGCACCTAGGGGACCGGTGGACCCGTTATGTGACTAGACGAACCGACGAACTCAAAGTCAACGATCTCGGATTGAGCTCAAATTTGGTCAGCTGAAGCGAAACGGCGTGCTGATCAATACTCACCGTCGTTGGCCGTGACTAACGATGGATTTTCGCGATTCGGGGTCATTTAGATGGGTTTTTCTATTTTTTTAGTATTTTTTATGGGTTAATTTAGTAAATGGCAGTTTCGTAATTTTACGTTTTGATGTTTACTAATCCTAGTAGGGTTAGGTTTGGGGATATATAAACTTGTTTTAGAGTTTCGTTTGACGAGACTTTTGGATATTTTGATTTGATAATCATACTTGGAGGACGAATTGTTCTTCTGTCAAATTTTCTTGTTCAGTCAATCTTTCTATCGCGTTTCGGCATCAACAGGAGGACGAATTGTTCTTCTGTCGAATTTTCTTGTTCAGACAATCTTTCTATCGCATTTCGGCATCATATTGGGTCATATTTGGGTAGTAAATCATACTAAGCATAGAATTTGACTTGGCTCTAGTTACTAGTTGGTTCGACATGCTCAACCCAACCATTGTTGTCATGCCCAGCACCCTACGAGCTTGCAACACCCCGCTTGGTCGTTAAGTATGCGACTTCTCAGGACTAGTCTCCGACCCGATACAAACGAGCTAAGAGTAACACATCCGGAAGCAACTCGAACACTCCATTCAACATTCAATTAAACGGGATAGTAAAAAGACAAATGAAACAGAACAACAAACCACTTTATAAACATAACGTTACTTACAACGGTACACCAAACAAGCCTTACTAGAGGCCTCCACTACAAACCACACACATATTCAAAAAGGATCGGGTGGTCGATCTACCTAACTTCTCTACTAAAAAGAGGGCATCCAAAAGATAGGATCCCTATCTTCACCTACTGAAAACTCCGTCAACATATGCTCCATATTCGTTGGGACCCCAAAACGTTGCGGAGGGCCATTGAGGTTCATGGTCGGGGGTCTGAAAGGTTTGAATTACAATAATGAGAATAAATCTCAATAAGTAAACTCCCTAAACCTCGATTAGGGTAACACGTACCTCCGGATCACCCTAATCATGCAATCCTACTAACATAGCAAAAACCTTTCCTTGGCACAACCAACTTGCAATTCATAAAAAAAAAATGTTCTAAAGAACACCCAATGGTATCACCATACCACACGTACTCACCAAACACAAACAAATCATGGCATTGCATAAACATGCATATCGACAGTTAATAATCCAGACATGCTCAAATATCACTCTTGAACACAAAGCATTCCCCAATGCAAATAACACTTATTGTTATCTAAATTATTCACGACCCCTCGGGCCACACCGAACCCCTGCCGGTCTTCCGATCTAGCCGGGCATCGTCCCGCTACTTCGGGTGCGGCAACGTTGGGGATCAATCCCCCCGGCAAGCCAGGTACCCAACGGCATTCTAATAAGGAGCATCGATCCGGCCTCCATCGCGATCGGCAACGTCTAGAACCCTCGCCTAGACGGCATCCGAACTCCCGTCGAGCATCGTCTAGAACTCCTGCCTAGACAGAACTTGTCATGGCCATGCACGCAAACAATCACTCATTGCCAATTTTCATCTTTCTTAATTAGCCAATGCAGAGTGTTTATGACGTGCATTTTCCTACGAACGAACATGTCATGAATTGCACTCATAACCATATCAAACATCATTATCTAGTCACAAATTACCATGATGCACCAAGATTAGCCATGATTAACCACACGATCCATTATCAAGCCACAAGATTAATGTTTAAGCATAAGATCCACCATTGATAATCCATTTCGGCCACATGATTGTCATCACAACCACACGATCAAACATTGATCACTTAATCAGCCATGACTAAACTAATTAATCACATGATCAAACAATTAGGACATGATTAACCATTCTAGGCCACACGATTAACTATGATCACATGATCAGCCAATCCAAACCACATGATCAACAATCAACACATGATCAGCCATGATCAAACCATTCTAACCACATGATTAGTTATTAGCACAAGATCAATCAATCTAAGCCACATGATTACCCTAATCATATGATCAGCCACATAAGCCATATGATTAACATCAAACCACATGATTAACCGATAATCAGCCATACACTAATTAGCCCTAGATTAGCCCACAATTAGCTACTAATTAGCTCATAATTAACCACTAATCAGCCCCTAAACTAGTCCATTAGTCACCCATCAACCTAATCAAGGTTTAGGAAGTTGCTTACCACTAATCCTAAGCCAAAGACCCAACTAAACCAGCAGCAATAGCCGGCGGTCGGTGCAGCAACTCCGGCGAACGGCGAGTGGCAAAATGGCGAAACGACGAACGGTGGCTGACACGGCGGCTGGTCACGACTTGAACGGCGGCTAGGGGCGGTGGCATGATGGTGCTGGTGGTGGACGGAGGTGGCTGGTCGGTGTGGTGGGGTGTGAGTGAGAGTGAGAGTGAAAGTGAGTGACGAAAGGGCTAATATGAAAAAATGATGGGAAGAGAGAGAATGGCTGAATAACATCATCCAAATGGAGGGTTGAGATCACTTCTTGGTCCCCAAGTTAAGATCCAAAGGCTAGGGTTGATTCTTGAAAAGGTTTCTAGAAGGGGCAATTAGGAAAATAACCAAAGTAAGAAGGGCAAATCTGTCCATGAAATTCAGAATCACTAGGGGGGGTACAAAGACTAACATGCCCTCCCACTCAACCAAGAAGTTCTAGAACACTAAGGGG